ACAGAGGAGGGGGGGTATAGATGGCAGGCGTGGGGTGCGGGGAGTCTGTACAGCGGCGCCAAATCCCGCCTGATACGCCCCGCCGGGAGGGGGGGTATAGAGGGGGGTGGGTACAGCTGGAGGGTTCTAGATTGCAGGTGATTTGGTTCTGACCTTCGTGGGGGGTCTGTAGAGGCGGGCTCACCCCCTCATTCCTATAATTTTGCTAAATAGGGGGATATAAGCTGGTAGAGAGGCTTAGCTGCAGGGAGGGGGCGGTGGTGGAGAGGGGGTGAGACGGCGGGGGGGGGGGGGTGTAGGACTAGGAAGTTTGGGAGGGTGATGTTGGGGCGCCTAGTACAACGCAGTTCAGTGCATGAATGAACTTGAGTTTATTCCTCGACAACCTTAAATGCCTCCGGTGTCAGGTAGCGCCACCTCGCGACCATGTAGAAACTTCATCTCCAAACAGATCCTACGGTGGCAACTTGGCAAGCCAAACGGCAATCGGCCGAGGAGTGAGTGACCACAGTGGCCATAATAATGAAATGAAATGAAATACCTTTATTGTAAATTCATGCCACGACGGGCTAGGTACAGGTCAAGACTTAACAGACACATAACAAACGTGTGTAGAAAACATACACAAGGAACATACAAGGGGCACTATACTAGGCTAATACAAAGTGTTCTAGTTACTGATCTAATACAGAGTGTTCAACTTCTTCTCGCTTTTCTGCACAATGGAAAATGTGGGAACAGATCATGATGGTCACTCCTTGGCCGATTGTGGTGTGATCAAGCTGGTGTGTTACGCCGAAAGGCGGTTATACCGGCTATACAGATACACTACATACAGATTGGGTACTACTTTGTCACCGTAGGATCTGCTTGGAGAACTCGTTCTGGATGCGCGTGGACTATCCAGAACCGTGCCTAAGCATGTTTCTGGATCAGGTACGTTTCTGGATACAACTCCCCTGGGACTGAACGGGAATCCAGTCTGCGTGCTCGCGTAGCCTCTACCAGGCTTCGGGAGGCGGCTGGAAAGAGTAGAAATCACGCCAGGGGAGTTGGTCTGCTGAAGAGAGCAGTTTGCCGCTCCCGTGGGATACAGGGAGCTAACATAAAGTTCCCTTGTCCCGCCGACTCTGCTTGGAGATTAGGAACCCAGGTTTGCGTGCTCACGGCTCCCCGCCGTTGACAGGCGGACGTGCCGAATCGGCGGCCGGGCGACAATGAGCCGCTTATTTTTTTGGCGCGAAACGTGCGGGTCCCGGGGCGACCGGTCCGGAGGGGGCGCGCGCGGTAACCCCAACAGCCGTGTCGGCACGACTCGCGGCATTGAGCGGCGGGCCTCCGTGACGGGGGGCGTGCTTGATTTATTTGTTCGCGCGCTATTGTCGGGCGGCGATAAGGCGGAAGGCAAACAATAGCGGCGGTCGGCGCGAGCAGCGGAGGGTTTGGTGGGGTCGTGTGGCGTAGCGGCAGAGTGCGAAACTCGGGACTGAGAGACCCGGGTTCGAGTCCTGACATGCCACCGATCTTGTGCCCTTAGGAAAGGCACTTTACACGACTTTCCTCACTTCGCTCAGGTGTAAATGAGTATTGTCCTGTCATGTATTTGCCCCCTGTGTTGTTGGCGGCATTAATATAAGTTGAAAACACTTGAGTGTGCCGTCACCACGTCTGGTGATTATAGTCATTATATGTTGGAATAAAAAGAAAATAAAGAGGAGCGGCGATAAGGCGGAAGGCAAACAATAGCGGCGGTCGGCGCGAGGAGCGGAGGTTTGACGAGAGGCGAGGAGGGGGCCGGCCGGCACGCTGGGTAAATAATCGCCACGAGATGCGGGCGGCTATCGCCTCCGCGGAGCTGGAAAATAGCCCTGTTTATTTCTTAATTCTGGGTCTTCTGATAAGCGACGTAAGCCTCTATCAGGCTTCGTGAAGCGACTGCAAGGGGTAGAAATCGCCTATTATATAAAGGAGACAGGCAACAGCCCCCGCACTGGAGTCTGGTAGAGGCTAGTGGTTATCGCCTCCGCGAAGCTGGAAAATAGCCCTGTTTATTTCTGGGTCTTCTGATAAGCGGCTCTAGCCTCTAACAGGCTTCGTAGCCCTGTTTATTTCGGGGGTTTCTGATAAGGGACTCTATCTAGCCTCTATCAGGCTTCAAATAGCCATATCTATATGGACTCTCTAACTCCACGATTTCTACTAGCCTCTATCAGGCTTCGGAAGCGGGCAGGGGGAAAATAGCCCTGTTTATTTATGGGTTTTCTGATAAGCGCAACTAGCCTCTACCAGGCTTCGTGAAGCTTCTAGGTCTTGAAGCGGCCAGGGGGGAAATAGCTCTGTTTATTTCTGCATCTTCTGATAAGCGATGTTAGCCTCTAAGATGCTTCGTGAAGCGGCCAGATCGTGAAGCGGCGAGGGAGGAAATAGCCATGTTTATTTCTGCCTGATAAGCGGCGCTAGCCTCTACTAGGCTTCGTGAAGCGGCTGGAAGGGGTAGAAAGTGGCCAAATAGACAGATAGCATAGCCAGTTTGGTTCGCTCAAGGAGTACAGATAACACTCACGATATCGATGCTGTCTATTTGGCTGCAATTTGTACTGTTTCCCTCCGCCGCAACGAAGCCTGATGATCGAGGCTATGGTCGTTTCCGGCTCCGTGAAGCGGGAAGGCAGAAAACAGAGATGTTTATTTGTGCGTTTTTAGATAAGCGACACGCACGGAAAGGGATCAGGACCCTTCCTCCTTATAGTTATGTCGTACTTTAGACTTCTTTGCTTGCGCACAGACTTGATTATTTAGTACATTTATTTAGTACTTAAAATTATTTGAGTTAAAAAAAAGGACGTGTTAAGCGGAAAAATGGTGTTAAACGTTATTTTGTACCATTAGTTTTTTTTAGGACAAAGTACCTATTATGAAATCTAGTACCGGCAAAATATACTCGCGGCGTTTCCAACAACAACAAAATTTACTAAATTTGCCCAAATTTGACCAAAGAATGGACTGAATAATTTTCCAGTGACTGTAGGGACAGAGGCTTAGAGATAGGCACCCTTGTTCTAATCTCTGTAAGCCCATTTATTTATTTTTTGGCAAACGCCTCTGGCCGATCAGTCACCCCATTTCCTGCAACACTTTGACCCCCGCATGGTGAGGCCAGCTGATTTCTACTCTCCAAGCAGAGGTTTGGGTTTTGGGGGTATTTTTAGTGTGTTTTTAGGCTTTTTTATCGGGGTTTCTCTTTTGCACTGAATTTTTTTTCCCACCAAACCCAACTTTTGGTGGTTTGGTTTGGGTTTGGTGGGAAAAAAAATTCAGTGCAAAAGAGAAACCCCGATAAAAAAGCCTAAAAACACACTAAAAATACCCCCAAAACCCAAACCTCTGCTTGGAGAGTAGCTGATTTCAAGGCTACTCGAAGCTGCAGGTGGACTGACTTCATAAAAATCGCGTATTTCACTGGTAAAATTTGGCGAAAATGGTGTAAATAATTTGCAGATTTGCAGCGCTGGCACCTCGCGCGACCGGCTCTAAAACTCCCGGCGCTCGCTGAGCTGAAGCAGTTTAGCACAAGAACATGTAGCAAGTACAAGTAGCTAGTCTTCTTTATATGTCTGCAAAAAAAAACTAGTAGAATAATTTGCAGATTTGCAGCGCTGACACCTAGCGCGAACTCCCGGCGACCACTGATCTGCGGCCCTGAAAGCTCTAAAACCAGCACAGGTACGAGTAGGTCGCTAAACTGATAAAATTTGGCGAAACGGGCTGAATAATTTGCAGAATTGCGACGCTGGCACCTCGCGCGACCGGCTCTAAAACTCCGGGCGCCCCTGAGCCGCAGCCCTGAAAGCTGTAAGCTGCGCAGCGCAAATTCTAGTCTCCTTCATGTCTCTGGAGAAAAATGGTAAAATTTGGCGAAATTTTGTGAATAATTTTGAGATTTGCGACGGTGGCACCAGGCACGACCGGCTCTATTAAAACTCCTAGTCTCTACCAGACTAACTACGCTGGCTATATATAGAATATTTGCCAGGGGAGTTTGGCCGCCTTGTAGGTTTGACCAAGGACATTCTACAGTGATGGAAGCTCCTTGGTTTGACTGGCCCTTCGGACATGTCGGAGGGAAAGAAACTACCTCCCCGCAGCCGGACTCCCTTGGCCAATTTTACTCTCTTTTTTTGTCGAATTCTACCATCCGTATTCCCGTAGCAGGGCCTGGTGGAGGCTACCAGGAGGCTACTAAAACTCCCGGCGCCCGGTATTCCTGTAGAAAGACCTGGTAGAGGCTACTAAAACTCTCGGCGCCCGCTGATCCTCCGTCCTGAAAGCTGTAAGCTGCGCAGCGCAGATCCATCATTCTGCGGGCGACCCTCGGGGTCAGACGGGGTTAGCGGGAGCGCGGGGGGACGGAAGGCGCGGCGACGGTAACCCGCCAGACGAGCGCGCCGCCCGCCGCAAGGGTAGACTGTCACGCCCCGTCAGCTTCACCGCCTTCCG